TTTTATTTTCTAAATTATAATTAACAATACATTTTCTTTCTCATCAAAACCATTCATAAACATATCCTAGGCTTATAAAATTTCCTACACAAGACCAGAATATTAAATCACTTAAGAAAAAAATAATAATTTACATATGCCCCATTTATTTGGGGTAAATGTAAACAATGATTTCACGTTATAAGAGTGAAATAGAATCTGGATCTGGGGCATATRTAAACAACCTGTATTACCTTTTATTTAACGTTTTGATAGACCCAATACACACAAATTTACATTAGYCCCAAATAYTATACTTTGACGTTCATACCTCCATGTTATTAATATGAAATACATTAAAAATGATTGGTTAATTTCTTATGATTATTATTTACAAATGCCCCGATTTACAATTACCCCATTAGACCCTAACCATACAACAAAAATCTGATTTTTTAGTAACTTGTTAAAAAGTTCTTTTTAAACTTAAACCCAACTTGAATTTTCAAGAGTCGTGTTTTTATTTTTATTTATAATGTGGTCCATTGGCGTACGCAGGATTTTTCAATGGGGGGGGCTTGAAAATAAATAATTACTAAGTTGTCACTGGTTTATAAGTTGACGTGTAGATGTGTTGTGTGTCACATGATTAGACATTGATTTAGAATCATTAATATCATCTTCAGCAGTAGACACAGAATTAATGCAATCATCCTATAATTTTTATAATAAAAGTTCATATTTGTTTAATTGTTTAAATATATAAATTACATTACTTACAGTTTTTTTTTTCTTCGAACTGAAAATCGAAAACAAACTTGTCCTTTTTTCTGACATAATGAGAAATTAAAAAAATGAAATGGTATTGTCAAAACTATACAACTTACACTTCAAAACGATTACAAAAAACGTTTACAAAATACCTCGACAGTTGACACTCAAGAGAAAAAAATGAATCAAAAACAACGGATTGCTGTGCAAAAAAATTACATAACCAAAAATATTTCTATAAAGCTTAAAAGCTATATTATATTATATATAACTCGGACATCGGAATAACGATGCTTGGATAGACGGATAGTGTTGCTAACATCAGTTCGATTGTTATCATAGAATATAGATTATAGATTTATATGGACTGTGGCACGGCTATAGATAGTATCATTAATCGTGTTTACTGACTATGGAATGTATAAAAATATTAGCTATGAACCTTAGGAGTTTAGCCAGTTTAGGACAATATGGTCTGCATTGTTTGCAATAAGTAGGTAAACACACGGTTTAAGAAGCTATATTAAATCGAGGTAAATATAAAAACAAAAAACAATAATACGGGCAATGGGGGGGGGGCTTCAGCCCGTTAGCCCCCCCCCTACAGACGCCACTGATGTGGTCCTTTAAATGCATGTACTATAATATGTGATAATAATAAGATGCTATTAGAATGTGATTACTCGTTCCTAATGTTGCAGCCAAGGTTTAATTAAAACCGTTATCATCCGATACCTTTCGATGATGTTTATAGAAAATTCCAAATATCAGCTCTTTATAATATGTATTTTAAAGGATTCTAGCTTATATCCAAAATAGTGATACATACCTATACTTACACATAACAAAGGAAAAAAAGAAAAATTATCATCGCTCCGCACAGAATCGAAAAAATACAAAGGTTATTATTATATATAGTTAAATAATGTAGTAGAAAAATAAATGTACAAAAATGAATTGTATAATTATTATTATACCATTACTATAAACTCAGACACAATGTTAATGACTCGCCGCTGAGTATTTAAAAAAAGTTAATTAAAATTCCTTACATTTATAAATAGCTTACAACAGTTAACAAATTCAATTCAATCTATGCAAATACAAAGGTGTAACTAGTAGCGTACGCATTGTTTTTATATAACCGTATTTTCTCACTCCGTAAATATTATTCGTATATTTTTCAAGGTGCTGGTGGAAAAAAACTTCAACATTCATTTATGCACGTTTTTTTTTTTTTAAAAAGCTTTCTAGAGCAATGCAATATATTGTTCTATATTTCTATACACATAATAGTGTACCTACATCAACTGCAATAATATAGATTCTAATAAACCGAACAGTGGTTATCATCGTTTATTACGAGTATCATCATCTTCATAATAATTTACAGTAGGTGGAAGTAAAACGAACACCTTATGACTTATTATAATAATGCGCTCGCGGAACCCATTTCTTCACAACACCATGATGAATCACCTATATAGAGTTCATTAATCTAGCAATCGTTTGAAGCCATTTTAAATTTATAACATTGGTATAATGAAGTAAGAGTATATAATGGCAGCAGAAGATTTTATTTATTAATATTATTTCTGATGATCGTCAGTAGGTTTTCCTATGTTTTTTTTAACGTAACTATATGTTTCAAAAGGCTTATCCTTCTCAATCAATACACAAGAAGTGTAAGACAGGGCCATATAAGCATAGGTATTCGCCCGAAACACCTGCAGTTCTATTTATAGGTCTACTCAGAGCCCTTTAAAATTTATAATTATATTATTTTTAATACATGTGTCCTAAGTTAATGTCATGTTTAAAAAAATAAACGTAACTACACCATAAAATTTATATCCGACTTAAATAGATAAAAAATGAAATTTAAATTTAAATTTTTCGTACAACATCAACTAAAATCTTAATAAACCTAACCTATAGGTCAAGTTATTTATTTCAGGTAAAATGCATTTTTTATACGTCAATGATTTTTTTTAAATTTTTGGTCTGAACTTTTTATGGAGATATTTTGATCTGCTTCGCTCTGCATAAATATACTGAACGAAATTTTTAAATTTTAAAAGAATTTAATGACGCATGACTGCAGTAAAAAAATTATTTTATATTATACGCTGGCTGCTACTCATATTATGCAAGCCTAAGTTCATAGTATAATATGAACGTTTTACACTTATACGTATACCTAACTTAACGACACCTGGAACGAAATATATTTTTGAACTTACCTAAGATGGTTCAAAAATAATAGATATTTACCCTTTTGTATTTTGTCCTATAAAATTATAACCATAAACCATGTTTTAATAGAACGCGAATTCAATATACGTCGGCATTATGATGATGTCGTCATCGGCGCCATGTCTTGGCGTTTCGAGAAACGTTGTATACGATACTCGGTATTAACGGTACGCCGCCGTAATCCACTGTAGATACATGATTATGACGTATAAATGTATAATGATAATAATAATAGTAATCGTAATGACGATAAACGGTAATTGCCGAGGGAAAATCCACGGTCCAAAAACGTGGTGCAGGTTTATGGCGAAATATTCGCATAACAATTTCTTTTTTTTTCGACGTGCCGATTTCACGGTAATATTATAATTATATGGAGCGCGCATAGCTCATGGGCCGACATAAATTTCCCACCGCCTACTATACCCATCCCTCCACCACTTTTCATTAACCTCAACATAGCATTTATATTTTATTTTTTAGTTTCCCTTGGAAATACCACGGATAACCCAACCATTTACACATCATACACACTGGTTTATGCCCGAAACGGGTCCCGTGGGATAGGGTATGGAGGTCGGTGGTGGGACGTGGAGGGGCAGCGTGGGGGTGAAGTTTCGTTCCACGGGAAAGTCCGACAATCGGTGCGCACGGTGCGTCATAGCCGTCGAGAATCGAGATGAATGGACAAAGATTTCGTTACGTGATGACGACAATTATAAAATGTACGATTCTCCGATCTCGTTACTATATACCTGTCGTCGCCGTGATATCACTATGATAACCCAACGTTTCCCGTATCCTCGACTCCCCCCACCCCCAACTGCACTTCGATCTCCCACCATTGCATTCGAGCGTCCGATGGACCCCCACCCCGTACGCCCCCACTAAATAAACTTCAGCGGCAACCGGTTCTGACTAATAATTAATAATATATATATATATATATATTTATATTATTATATTCTACGCGGCAGAGGCGGTGGCATGCCCATACACTGGTGGCACACCGAGTAGGTACCTTCACCCCCCTACTCTTCCGCGGAGAACGCGTATTTTCCTTTCAGTCACGCACCGCACACCGCACCGTCCGCAATAGTATTACACACTCTACTACAACTACTACTACTACTACTACTACTACTACTATTACAATACACTCCGCGACCGCATTTTTTTCACATATTTTATACCAAAGATACCTGTATGATAGTAATGCTATATATTTAAATTTAATATACCTATCAAGTATAATAGTGCAATTTTTTTTCGTACACATAAATACGTTCGCGTGTGGATCATTCGCCTTATTTACGTACGCATCACGCTCGCATCTACAGTCGCGTCATACGCTATATACGCTTTTTTTTTTATTATAATATAATACAATTTAGGTACACGTCACACGCTCAAATATACATATATATATATATATGCTTCATAAAATAACACATAGCGTTTATATATATATATATATTGTATTTCGCGAGTGCGGCCTATATATGTAGATGATAATATATAATATAAAGCTCAGTTCTCGGCGTCTCGTATAGATCACATCGTATTTGCAGTGCACCGCGATCGATCTAAGCGCACCGAAAGCGTTTTTCTTCGATGGGATTTCGCAATCCGTACGTGTCGATACTTTCGGTCGATTACAAGCTGCGCGCCAAACTGATACCACTGAGGTCTTAGTATTATAATATTTTGTATATTACATATTTTGGCTGCATTAGAACTCGCCAGCGAAAACCAAAATTCATAAACACCGTCGTCGACGACTCGAGTACTTACACATATTATATTATATTATACCCTTTATAAATAGGCGCAGTATACATACAATACACATACTACCTATATCGTACCTTTTCATAATATAATATAATAAATGTGTGACTTTGTGTTGTTTACAGACCGTGTCGAGTCATCGCGATTAAAATAGTATATCATACGCATACAATATAAACGAAGACAGAGACAACATTGCAAAAATGGCTTGGATCAGACGCGGTCGCGGAGACAAAGCGACGCAGCAGATGACGTTCACGATCGTAAGTTATTATTATTATTTTTTTTTAAATCAAGACACAGTTCTATCATTATTGTTATTATTATTATCATTACGATCTCGAACACATACAATTAACCGACGTTTTATACGAGCTTYGCGCACTACAATCGCACAACCGTGTGTGTGGCTTTCAATTCGGTTTCTTAACCACTACGTAATTGTACCCGTCGTCGCTGCTAATTGATCGTACTAGAGCTGCAGCAGGACCGGACGACCGATACTAAAACGTGCGTGGAGGACGGTGTGACGTCGTATTGCCAACCTAAATCGACTATGTACCTATTTAATACGATAACAATAATAATATTATTMTTATTATTCTTTACCTCGATCTCGTGGTCAACATAATATAACAATATATTATAAATAACAAATAATAATAATATGTCGTGTATTGTACCTACTTAACGCGATCGTACGCGACGTTTTGATATACCATTGAGGTTGTTTCCACATAGCGATGCCTAAATCACGGTAAAATAATCTAAAACGCCATCGAGGCGAGCCACGAACGGTCCGTGGAAATTCCGTTTCCGTCGTCGTGTTGATTTTTCCGGTTGACTTTCCGCGCGAAGATAACTKTTATTGTCATTATATCGTACATGATAATTCATTATAATAATACATAATATATTATATTAGGAGAGGTACGTTCAAGACGCAGCCAATCGCGGTGTAGGTACATGTTTTAACTTAAAATATTACGTTCGTTTTATTATCTTGGCGAAAATCGACTGACGCGCGAAAGACTTCTACAATATAATCGACAAATTGGTGCGCGCACATATGTATAATAGTAATAATAATAACATGTATATGTATATCGTGTGTGTGTATAAACGTTAAAAATGTCTCTAATCAGTACGTTAATTACCGGCCTCTATAAGATGCTAATGGACAATTTTTATGTCAGTCGAAACCTTTTATATATTCGTCGCAGACGTGTGCGTGTTGTGTCCGGTCCGATCGGTTTTTTATACTAACAAAACGCTTTATTATACGGCCGAGACACACGGAATATTATAATTATTATATTATTTTTACTTCCTATATACAATATACATATTATATTCGTTCGATTATCTAATTTTTTTTATGAATTTAAACTCGATATTATTATTATTATATATATTATACACGTTTGATATCGTTCGATTGGTCATGAAACCATCATGCAAGCCACCGTCACGTCGTTAGAAAGTCAAAATACGTTTTTTTCTTCTGTTGTTTTTGCTGCACACAGACTGCAGTCGAACTTACGCGAGTGTCCGGAGATATTATTTTCTTGCGTACCAACGTCTGCCTATATAATATACCCTTTACAGACTGGTACCGCCAACGAAATCATTAAAATGGAAGTCGTGACTCACGGGGGTAAATAAATACCATATTTTTTTATTATTATTATTATTAAATATAATTAATGTGTAATGTCCTTGATTTCTTATAAATTGCTATATTTTTTAAATTCATTTGGAATAGAAAATTATTAATAATATTTTTGAGAGAAAGAGTTAATACTTAAATGCACTTGACGTTAAAAAAGTTTCGTCTTACCTATTATTTAGGTTCAAATTTTCAAGGAGCGCCAGTGTTATCGTACAGCTCTTAATAATTTTAATGATAATATACGATATGTTGGACTTGACTTAAGACTTTTTGATACGACGCTCTACGCTTATCTACAATCGTTTCCGGTATAGGTACACGAATTTAAAATTGAAGTTTGGACAAATAATTTAAGAAACCTTTTCAATTCAACGATAAATTTCTTAATTTAAATGTAGGTATAGCTTATTCATTATTCGCTTAATCCTGAATGTTTATTTAGGCCTTTTGTTTTTGAATAACAATTTAAATATTATTATTCAAGTAATAATATAATAACAGTATATATATACGTACTTACTCATATGTATGGTATTGGTTTATATGCATATAATATAATCATAAATCATACCATTTATTTTTTATATAATTTATGTATAATAGACGTTAATTTTAATTGACTTATACTATCAATTTCGTAAGCTATTTAAGCTATATATTTTATTTAATAATCGTGATGAAGATATCAGGTATTCAGGTATATGCTATTAATAAAACTTAAAAGCTGTAATAAGACATTAATTAATTTACTTGATGATATCAATAGATAATTTATTTTTATTTATATTATATTTTTTAAAGCAAAAATAAAATTGTAATAACTACATACAAAGTTTCAAATTGGTTAAATTGTAATTCGTGGGTTAGTTATTTTGTGTTGAATGAAAAATCATACCTAATATATACTCACATAAAGTAAGCATTATGCCAAAGTGCATATATTTTTTCTGTTTATGAACTATAATCACAAAATAAATATTTACAATATATTGTTGTTTTAAAATATAGCAACATAACTGTAAATTTGCTATACATACGATTTTTGTAGTTATCGAATCTATTATCCTGGGTATAATAATAATATGTCTTCTTTTCAATACATTTAATATACAGATAATAATATATTATACACTACACACATGTTCAGAAAATAAATTGTACTGTTCTATGTTCTGAATTTTTAAAAATACAGTATCACAGAGAAATAAAACAAGCAAAATATTTTATTGGTGCTATATATAGATATATATAATATAATAATTTATTCTAAGTTCAACGTCGATTTTTCCTTGTTTGTATAATATACGCCCATAAATTTTCTTGTTATTAGCAAATCCATTTGTATTGTATACTCGTTAAAACATAATATGTCATCATTAACATGTTCCTATACTCAATTCYGTACATAACCGGGCGAAAATAAATAATATGAAATCAGCAGGTTTTGAAGGTTGTACACGCATTTTTKAAGCTAAATTAAAAACTGATTGCGTTTTATTGCAATTTACCGAAATTTATTTATTCGAGATGATTATTGTACGGTATACTGTATGTATCATGATTTCATTTGAATTCGATATTATGTTCAATGCATCATTCTTAACAATGTGTATTATTTGAGACATAATATTATAAAACTTAATCGTTTTAATGTTTTATACTATGCTTAGTCAACGGAGTAGTAWAATATTTTTCTTTACATATTATTGATTATTTTATATTTATTTTGTTAAAACTGAAATCTATCTATTAGTATTAAGCATGTATAAAATGTTCGCACGTAAGTAGGTATAACCAAGTTGTGACACACCGTGAGCAAAATTGCATACACAGCGTTTAAAATATATAATATGGTGAAAAAAAATGATTTCATTAGTGTTTATTCTAGTAATGACTTATCATTATTCATATTTTTTTTGAAACATGAAATTCTAGAATAATCTTTTATTTTGAAATCGAAGTACAATTTTCACTTTTAATGATTTTGGCCTATGGGACATGGGATTTATATATYTACTTATTTGGACGTATGATATATTTATGCATTTCTATGTATCGATATATAATCATATATTATATTATATACTTCATTTATTTTTATATTCCGACCCTATATAAAAATTGCTTTCAATGGAAGTYATTATATTATAATCAAATCATAGACGGGGGTTATGGGGACCCGATAACACAGCTTTCTATGCAAGACGTTATCATCGTAGACTGAGAAATTATACAATAAAATAATCCGACCTCTAACTGTGTAAAATTTCGATCCCGCGCCAGACAGAATATTGTATACATACACTATGGTTTCAAGAGCAAAGCCACACAGGAACAATACTGCATTGAAGCGTATATGAATTTAAAATGTTTGCATCAAACTAGCGTGGRTGAATTTAAATTCAAAATTAGCACCGTACGTTCGTAGTTGCAAATTTACAATCTAAACATTGCTGGAAATAATTCATACAGACATGAAAAACTGTAAAACTATGACATTGTGTGCAATCGCTCTGTATAAACGACACTTGTACAGATATAATAATAATAATGTTTATCTAGAATAAATGAATGCATGTAAATGTGTAGATTGACATAATCACGACAAATTTGTTAAGACAATTCTTTTTTTTTTAATATAAAATCCAGTGTGTTTCACGGAAATGACAAAGACACTCTTTTCCACGAATCTTACGTAACAATATATAAATTCATATTACATTTTCTTCCCAAAACCATAMGTGTGCGTGTAAACAGCTGTACTTATATATTCTAGTTTTAACTTTTAAGTATAGTGGAGTATATAACAGTGCTATGTTTCAATATCGTTTTGCATTTTATTTTTCAATTTTTATATTTATATGCGTCGTCCTTGTCAGCATCTGTCAACCGATCCGCAATGGATTTATGTGTATGCACTTTAATATAAATCACGCTATCGGTCGGATAATGACGTTTTTTCATGATGTATGAAACACAATCTATATCCGGATGTTTCTGGCACGTAAGGCTTATTAAAATTTAAGTTGATTCGCTCGCGGATTTATTGTAATTTAGTATTTTTTATTATTTTTTATTATGTAGAATGTACACATTTTCTTTTTGCGAAGGACAATTTGTGATGTATATAAAAAAAATGTGTGTATACACAGACAATTAAAATACACATTCCTGGCTTTTGCTGAACATTTTATAGGAAGGTGCGTGGAATTAGYGATTCAAAATTTTTGAACTATTTTTTAATTCGCTCGCCAAGTTAAATTCCATCCACATTCAACAACTTATAATGCACTTTTAATTTCAAAATTATGTTTGAATTATTATGTTAGAAATACACTATTAAGTATTGAAAATGTTATTTGGTTTTGGTTGCCATAATTTACATTAAATACCTGCAATAATTTTAAAATTACAGTTGTGGGATATTTCAATATTATTTGTGAACTGAATCAATATKTATATTATGAAATATTAGTAAAAAGTGACAATTATACCTAAGATTTAAATTATTTGCAAATTATTATGTGTGAGTTCCTAATAGACTCTTAAGTTTCTTTTATCTTGAGTAAATATACAATATGCCACTTCAGACATAGGTACCTACAGGCTACAGTCATTGTTTACATGCATGAACATAATTATAATATTGTGTGACTTAGATTATTGTTTAAATAATATATCTAAAAATAAGGAAATTGTATAATAATATGATATAATATATATGCGTATATATTTGTTTTAAATTATTTATGTTGGAAACCTTATCGTTTATTCAAATATATAACCATGCAAACACATTTAAAATTTGCACATTTTTTCCTATATAATTTATGCAAACATTTCAATTTTAGTCATACAAATTATACCGTGTGTTATTCTTGTTATGCTTTTGTAACATGTTTCTAAAAAAAGAAACCGAAAACCGATAATTTATTGTTTTAAGTCATATGCCTATTATAGTGATCTAGGTTAGCAGTTGCAATACGTTAGCATTTATTTTACGTAGGTATATTATATTATTTTTGCTGTTAAGGAAAGAAAATCTTTACTAAACGTCTTTACTAAAACTTACTAAAGATTGCTAATTAATAAATTAATTATCAAACTTAGACATTTTTTAGTGTATTAAAAGGATTAATTCGATTAATATTGATAACATTCTTTTGGAATATCGTATACCAATAGAACTGCATTATATGACGTATATTATGTAACTTTATGTATATAATATAATATTTAATCAAAGTCAAAAGTTATTCTCAYGGTTCTTACTAAATATTTTGATAACCTCTATGCACAATTACTACACAATTGATCTTATTATTTTTAAATATTTTGACCGATATCATAATATTTACTACCTATACAAGTCTTCTCAAATCACATTCACTCTCGGCTTCTATCTTGTCAAACCTTGTAGAACATATCATAATTTCTAATGATATTTTACTTATTTATCTTAACTTAAATTCATACTCAAAGAAGCAAAAATATTTTACAGACAATTTCACAACAGGTTTGTCTTGCACTGTAGACCCCTAATCCAAAATCTACAAAACTTCCTAAAATTACTTAAATTAAACTGGTGATTTATAATAGGTACTGACACACAATTTTTTTTTTTTTTAATAACGAATAAATCTTAATAAAATAATTTACCTATGCATACCTATCACATTAAAGTTGTCATAAATGTCATTAGTCATGTGCTTTTTTTTCAAAATTGTTCAGGTTTATATTTATCTATCATCATATTTTTATTTGATCATAGTTTATATATAGTCTCTAAATAAAGATTTAAAATAAATGATAAATCGAAAATTTTTACTCAAGTAGACATCATCTATCGAATTTTCAAATAATCGATAAACCTAAGTATTAACAATACAAGTTTTCTTTTTAAAAATCAAATATATATTTCAATATGTCATACATAAAATAATGTGTCGCGGGTAGAATAGAATTGCAATAAAAATAAACAAGATTATGCGATGTTTTTAAACCTATTTAATATCGGATCTTAAATTAGCACCGGTTTCGATGTACGGGTATAATGTGTTGTTATATAATTATTAATTTCAGTAATTATTATTGTAATTATTTCGAGACACGCGTGTTATTGCCCATGAATATTAATTGTCTGCGTATATTTTAAAATTACTCTACAAATTTACTAAGACATATTATTTTATACGAGTAAACAATGTATTCAAAAATTTCCATATACACATTGTATAATAATAATAATATGTTATTATTATCGTCTCATGATAAAAAATATAATAATATATATAGTCCCTAGCCGACTATGCGACCGTGGCCACTCACAGCCCGTTTTGGAACCAATCTAACCTCGTGTCTGCCTTTGTGTGTGCAACTCTACATAATATTATTATACGTTTTGGCGACACGAACGTTGCAATACGTTTGTTATATCCTTCGGAAGAGTTAGCTCGGCCATCGCGCGTTTTCCGATTCGACTGGCGCGCGGCGATGGGAGGAAATCGCGGAGCTGTGGTGATTGGTGATGGCGATAAAAATCTCCAAACACACTGCAGGCGAAACTCCTTACACGTTATTATTGTTATCACCGTGTTAGGTTAATCGAACACAAGTTATGGTCGGGCTGAGATACGATATCGTTCTTATATTATATTGTTCTGAGGACTCGATTACGTTGTATATAATTATTATGACCGATAAAATCAACGAAAACACGCGCGAACCCCCGTCAAACGTTGTTTTATACGTATCATTGCGGCATGCGTACTTGGGCTGATTAACAATGCCACCGTCTTATCGGCAGCTTCTATACAGGGTGATTATTTTCTCCGACGACCACGCACTTCATATGCGACCTCGGCGGCGTTCGGATAATGTTAGACTATATTATACAACAGCTATTATAATATGCTGCGGGGGGGGGAGGCAATCCTACAGCTGTATACTAATATACAAGGGGCTAGGAAAACCAAACCCTCCCCCTGCAGCAGGTATCACCCCCGCGACTTGTTGGTTTATTCAATAACCATTATGGTTAGAGCCACGACCGCACCTAACATCTGTATAACCGGCTTTTCCAAACGCCGAGCGTTGAAAAGGGATCACACTGTATCGTGGTAATATCTATATGTGGCATTATATATTGTATAACGTAAAACATTATTATGGCTCGTTTTATTCACGACATGAATTTTTTTTTTCGCACTCGCACGAGACTTACTGTTACAATCGCGGCGCCACTAATACTATCGCGTTTGTCTGTCTAGGACATGCCCATCAGCGAGGACCAGGTGGCCGAGCTGTACGGTGAAGGCGCCCGGATCCACAGCGTACACCACAGGTCCAGGCCGGAGCAGTCCGTGTTCGCGTCCACAATGTCGTCCAACGCCTCGGTGGACACGACGGTGGGCTCGACTGCGGCGCTCATACACAGCCACGCGGCCAAAGTCAAGAAGAAGAAGTACGCTTTTCTCAGGCAGGGCCACAGCGGCGGCGCCCAGCAGTCGGCCTCCGCGTCGTCCAACAACGGGTTTTTAACTGGCCGCCACTGCCGGGACGCCGCCATACACAGCCAGAAGGAGCTAAACATCCGGCTGGCCACGCCCACGGTGCCAAACTTTATCGATCAGATTCTCAAGAAAAAACAGGCCACCGAACAGGTGGCCGCAAAGCGTCTGAGCAGCGACGACGACGACTGTGATGACGACAGGGACGACGACGAAGACGACGTGTTCCTGCAGGACCTCAAGTCCGCCGCCAAAATCCGGACGCCACAAAACACATATGTCCCACAGGTAAGTCTATTGGCTTTTTTTTTGTTAAAGACAAAATTTTATTTCTGTCTGTATATATAATGTTAAGTCAGGGATTGGTAGTTACGCCACTCGAATTGTACGTTTATCGACTAACACAATTCTTAAAGATATTACGATGTTATTAGATTTATCATAGTATAAAATAAAATAAAAACGGCCTTTATCGATAAAAATTATGTTATAATTTCCATAACTTTTACTGGCTATATAATATGTATTGTWGTGCCAAACCAAACGTAGTTGTGATAATATCAAAGAGTTTACCCAATTCTTTGGCAAAAGGTGAATCCCGTTTAGATTTATGTAATGAGCGCAGTTACACGCATGTTTTAAAAATATAATAAGCGTTTTTAAATATTTGTGCACGTAACTCGTAACTATTATACAACGTAATCTATAGTTACATAATAACTGTAACTTGTAACTGAGTCATTATTTATGTCCAATAAGATTYGATAGTCACTATTGTTATAATATGTGGTATCTATAGTGACGTTATAGTATAACTTAGTTGGTTGGCCAAGTCTATGGTGGTATTATAGTGAGTTTGAGGAGAAGRAATATACTGTATAAATTGCAGTCAAAGTTTGGGATGTTTGATTTTTCTTATTCCTTTCGCATCCCCTACTCCGATTGGGTTATTCTGTTTTGCGTTTCACCCTGACCCAAATAACTGAGCGAACGCAAGTCCTAATGGGTATAAGACGGGGAGCGGCCTCGTTTCGACTACATCAATTAATATTCTTATATCTGATGTATAATCAATATACGCGCAGTTTTCGTGTGAATCGCGTCTGTCAGCTACTTATATTAATATCAATCGCACTCGGTTGTCTATTTCACTGCGTCTCRTCGTCAGACCCTGCACATACCCACGTTATGGCCCAACACTTTAACAGGACCATGTCGTTAAGGGCTTGGCCCTCCATGTACGGCGATTACGAGTTCAACGACGATGACGACGATGATGACGAGAGAAAACACACGAAAGCTAATTACGAACAGGTAAATAGATAATAATAATGGTTGGAAAAAATTATACAAGTCGGATGCCGCGATAGGAGGTTATTTGCGCAATATCCCACGACACATATTGTATAGTAATTATTATCCACAATACACGCTGGTCATGGTTCGTTATAATGTTATATGAGTTCGTCGCGTTCACGGTCCGTCTCGCGAGGTCGACGTATCAATAAATTCGTTTTTATGATGATCTGCAGTACGAAGGGATTTGACCACTAGAACGATAACTAGAGAACTATACATTATTTTACAGATCTGTAAGCAGTGATTTTTTTCATAGATTTTTCGTACCTTTTATTAACCTTTGGAAACTGTTTTATGCCAAACATTTATTTACCAGACGTCCCGGAAGTTAAAAGAATTATTAGAACTAACACATCCGACCGTTATTCTGATCGGACCCATAGTTAAATAATTAAAAGTATGTCTTATTCTCAATACGAGACATTAAATTTCATTTTTTCTTAAACATAAAATATTGACTACTTGTACGTAAAAATTCACCAAATTATTTACGAGAAGGTAAAAAAAGTTATGAAATAAACATTCGTTTATAAGTTCTGTGTAATGAACAGTTTTATATTCTATTTAGTATGTTAATCTAATTAGTCTTACTCACGAAGTTGTTTTTAACAAGGCGTAGTTTTATAAATAGAGCATATTTTACAACGATGCTGTGTTATTCAATAATTATTGTATAATTTATTTTTAAAATGAACTCTACCTTCAACCTGAAGTAAATTCAGTACACGCCCCTCATGTTTGAAGTGGTTTTGTCGATTATTATCACTTTCAATGTATATTGCATGTATTACAATAGTATTTATTAAATGCATGAACCGTAATGTTAATTAAGAAAAATCGTTAAATTTAATGCTTTTAACTGTCGTCTTTATTATAGTGGACAAAAATGTATATCTTAGAAAAAAAGACTGCTTACTTAGCGATATTACTTTTAATCGTTGCATTGTTTTTGTACTTAAAAAAATACAACTAACAATTTGTTTATATTACCTATTTATAATTTGATAGTATCCTTTGTATATTATAATTTATAGGTAACGGCATTAATTTTTTTTATTGTAGGTAAATATGATTTTGCTGTAGTAGATATGATAATAATTTAGAGATTTATTTCCGACGCGTTAGTATTTTCCAATATTATGATTTTAGTTGAGAATTTCTCAATAAAATTAAATAGTATTATTATATTTCCGTTGTTTCGCAATACGTCTAAAACGATAAACGAAGCGTTCAATGTTTTTATTTTTTTCCATAATATATAATAATTTTATAATATTACCATTGATAAAATATATTAATAACATAATATGTTTATCTCACCCATCCTGTGGATATAATATTATCGTTTATAATATACACTTATATTCACTTAAAATACAAACTACCTTCGTYGCAATTGAAATTTCGTTTGATTTAAAACAATAATACATTAATACCTAGGTGTTAGGTATTAATTTCCTTGAATTTCTCGAAGTACGCAACATAGTTGTACGCAGTTAACCGTTTGTTTGCCTACCTTCCGGGCGCGAATATTCCCCGATTACACGCCGCGAATATTAAAATGGGCCATTGATGCGAGAAGGATTGTGACCTTGGAATACACTTACAGACTACAGTAGATCAATCGATCATAAACATTGCGCGTCTGTTACAGGAATTATTGGAAAACTCGTTGATGTGTACTCACGCTGCGAGAGGTATCATAATAATATAATTTTATAATACAGTCGCACGATGGGAATGCAAATTTGCGCGGGTGGCAAGGTTTGAGCGATCATATATTACATATATGCGTGATGTGAAAACTTAAAAATATAAATAAAAGAACTCGCGTGGCTTATTAAAAAAAATGAAGAAAAAAAAGATAATGTCAAGCACGTAAGCACGCACACATATTATAAAGAAGTTTGAGCCAAAGGTCGTCCGGCAGACGACATCAATTGGTCGGACTATCAATATGCGAGTGAACGTGCTAACTGCTAAACATATATACACAATAAATATGCGACAATATAACAGCAGAAGCCGGCAGTTGTAGAGGGTCCAACCTTGATCTTGTAATTGACCCTTTGCCGGTAGGTAATTCAAAAAATAAGACAATTTTTTCTTTTTCCGTTCACCAAAATAAATAATATGTTTTTCTSAAATAATAATAATATAATCTATACTAATTTATAGATATGTCATAATACGTACGCTGCTTTTATAATTGATMAATGTTTTTCAAAAACACCATAGATAAAATATGTAACTCGTGCAATGAAATTGTTTTGTTCCAATACTGTTGGAAATCAGTAAACAAAAACAGCAATTAAGATCCTGGCAAAAATTAATTTAAAGATTAAATTGTTTTATTATTTCTATAGTCTTGTTTTTTAGAAAATAATAGTATGGGAAATAAATAGGCGCCTATAATACTATATCTCCTTATCTGTATACTACATTAGCAATTCAGGAAATTGTTGTTGTTTTATACAATTTAATCGGCATACTGAATCAAAGAAAGTTTAGGAAAAATCAAATTATTACATATAAAAACCTTATTAAAAAATAAATATTCTGTCGGCGGACCGAATAAAATTTGTGACATTTGTTGACCCCKGCATGCTATAATATCAAATATTGAAATATGTATATTGTATAGTGTCACTGTTATTTTAGTCTATCTGCTTAATGAAATTGATATAATAATATTATGTTTAGGAATAACAACTTTATCGATATCTTTAAGAATTTCCATTGGTTTGATACCTTGGTATCATATCCAATACACCGAAATAATAGATTGCATTATTTTTGACGCTTAATATCTAACTTTTTATTGTTGAATAAGTAACAGTTTTCATTATTTTTTTTTATTCCGCGCGATAATGATACACAATTTAATGATAACATGATATTCATTATCATTGTAGAAATACTTATTATCAAGTTTTATATTGATCGTGGTTTAAACTACGTGACGGTAGGAAACATATTTTATGTATTGTTACTGTTATGAGGTATCTAGTGAAGTTAAATAGAGGAAAGATAGAAATAAACACAATAATATCGTAAATAATTRTTAAACTTTTAATCGTTGAACTATTTTGTGTATCATACAATTGACGAACCCATATAAATTAATTTCAATTTTACATTACGGTCCTCCTAWACATAAATTATAAATAATTTGAATAATATTTAATATTTATACTTTAAATACTGTGTGTTTCATGAATCTCGGTTGCATCAATATTCATTTAGATATTTAGTATATTCCAATGAACATGTATAGTATATTGTAATACAGATATCAAATTAATATGTATTTAAATCACCAACGTTTGTTSGAAATAAATATACAGTGTGGACATTTAGAAAATGCGTTTGTATATTCGTATTATAATTATATCATAATACAATGAATGTAATTATGAATCTTGTAATACAATTTTAAATGTGAATTTCGGTATGCAAATCAGGGCTACCGACAAACGTGTGCTAATTTAAAATCGTATATATTTATAGTGTACAATATAATGATCATCAACAATTGCGTCYATATACCACAATAAAACATAATATTAAATGTATTTTTATTAATATKTTTAGGTATTATACTTGTTGGGATAAAGACTAGCACGATGTCCCTTTGAGATAGTAATAATATTTAAACRCAAACGCATAATATAAYTATTTATTTACGAATGTGTTGATACCGTGAAAGCATGATAAATTATATACGCACTACCCGGTGATAATTTTTTTTTACACTCCCTCCTWAAAAATGTAAATATATGACAATAACAATTAATTTGATATATGTTGATACATTAAACGGTAATAACAAATTTTACAAAGAATAATAAAGCTTATTGTTGATTAAACTTTAATAGGCAATAAAACAATCAATACACGACTAGAAAATATTCAAAAATCAATAAATC